GGGTCAGATACAGGGTAAAGCTCGCTCTACACTGTTCTTATCAAACACTCCCAGGACAGGGACAGCACGGGGTTAGATAAAAAGTAAGGCCTCCTCTACTCTTTTAAAGTGAACGGAAAGCTTTTCTCTACAGTGTCCCCATCAAATACTCTCGGGACAGCTTCAAAGTGAAAGTGGCCCACATGGAGAATATGAGGGGAAAAAGTTTTTCCACAGAAGTGGCTTCAGCTAAGACAGATCTAATTGCCTGTTAAAGTGGCACCTTGCCCTGGGAAACAGGAACTGGGGGGAAAATTCCTCAGAGAGGAATGTTAGGGTGAATGCAGAAATAATCGCAGAAAATCTGTCCCCAGGAGCTTGGTGTCAAACTGGGGCTACACGGTGTCAAATCAATCCATCTTTCCTAGAGCCGGGAGACCAGAATTGAACGCAGTATTCCAAAAGTGGCCCTAACCAATGTCCTGTACAGCTGCAACATGACCCTCCCAACTCCTATACTCAACGCACTGACCAATAAAGGCAAGTGTACCAAACACCTTCCTCACCGCTCTGTCTACCTGCGACTCCACTTTCAAGGAACTATGAACCTGGTCTCCAAAGTCTCTTTATTCAGCAACACTCCCCAGTGTACAAAGTGAATGAATTTTAAAAAAAAATCCGGAGTCCTCCCTCATGAATTCTAGCTCGTTCTGACAAAGAGTCGCTGAGCCTAGAAGATTAAACTCTGTTTGTCGCCGCAGAGAGAGATCCTCTGAGAATCCCCGCAATTTTCTGTTTGATCTCAGATTTCCACTATCCGCAGAATTTTCCTTTAGTCCTTTGCGATTTGTGAAATGCTCCCAGGGTGTTTCAGATGAACAGCCATCAGAGAGAGTCTCACTCTGAGCTACATGAGGACATCAGGGATAAGAGACTAAATGTCAGCATCTCATGAGTGTCTTGGGCTGGGGTGGGGGGGTGGGGGGGGGGGGGGGGGGGGGTGAGCGGGAAAAGGTTTAGGGAGAGAATTCCACAGCTCAGGGCCCTGGGTGGCTGAAGGTGGAGCGATGGAAATCAGGAGGTTAACCAGGGAGGTTCAAATCTGCAGCAGGTACAGCACAGAGAGTACAGCCAGAGGATGAGAAATCCTCACCTTCTCTCAGTCACTCCCTCATGCTCCGATATACATGCTCGCGCAGTGACACACTCCTGAACCCCTCATTCACACACAGACACACACACAAACCCCGCGCTGCCAAACATCCACTCTACTTATCACCCGAGGAGGGAGATGAGTTTTTAAGTTCGGAATGGGTAGAAGGAATGAGAGGAGCGGGCAGGAAAGTGGCTGAGGTGAGATCAGCCATGACCGCATTATATGCTGGAGCAGGCCTGAGGGGCTGAATGGCCTATTCCTGTACCTATGTTCTACTCAGCGCATATGCACACCTTGTCTCACACGCGTGCACTCACACACACATGCACACTTCCACACCCCTTACTGCCAACTCACACCCACATCTCCGCTGCACACCCCCCGTACCCCTCACACACACACACACACACCCTCTCCCCCCACCCTCTCTCCCACACCCCCACAGTCAGTGAGACAGTTTTGGTGCCACAAACTGAAATGATGACTTTAATAGATCGCGCTGCTCGAACAGGCAGAAACTGGGAGAACACATGTACCTTCACCCCACACCGAAACTAACCACATCAACGGCTTCAGTATGACCCACAGGGTTAACAGTGATAGCACAGCGCAGGGAGCTCCGCTAACACACTGCTCTCTGATAGGGTGCTGGCTCTGACTGGCACGGGGTGGGCAAAGTGTTTGGGGGTCTTCGCTCCGTCTCGGAGCTCCTGTTCCCCCGTATCCCCTTTCTCCCTGGTCTAAAACCAACAAGAGGTTCGTTCTTTCGTTTGCCCCTGGTGACTCTGTCTCCGCTGTTGAGCAAGGAGAGTCCACACCAAGGGCCAGACCCTTCAAATTCCCAGCTGTGCTGCTCATTTTGGGATTTGGGGGTGGGGGGGTGGGGAGGTGAGGCTAACATCAGGAAAGTGGGTGTGAGGGAGGGGTGGGATCTCAAACTGTCTCCGTGCCACCGCCCCCAGGAGAGAAAAGTGGGGGGGAGTTTCAGGAAAATTGGAAAAAGAAAGGGAGACTGATCAATGGGGCACGGGCTAAGAGTTGTGGAGCGAAGGAATGGTCGATGAACCAGGCTAGGAGGGGGCCGAATGGCCTCCAGCCCGGCCCACAGAGGCCGTTCCTTCCCGATAGATTCCTCGCTCCTCCTAGCCCTCAGTCTGCAAGCCATCTCAGGAACGCCACATCTGTCAGAGCAGAGATCGAGGCTATCATTGCCCCAGTGGGTGGGTGGGGGGGGTAAATGGAGAACAGTTTCATTTCGCACCCCCTCCCACATGCTCTCCTCGCTGCAAAGGACGAAGTGATCCTGGTCGAACAGCACAAATTGGCATTGAGATGCAGCTTCCTTAAGGTCCCCACTACCCACTGGCATCAGCATACAGTTCCCCGAGAAGTCAGTAACAGCCCCCGAACCCCTCAACCCCGCCAACCCCCAACGCCATTCCCTCCCTCCCTCCCTCGGGAGCACCTCCACATCCTGGGATTGGGAACGTGGCCGAAAGTGGAGGGATCCCGTCCAAAGGCTGTGGGATCCCACCACTCTGTGATGCTCAGTTCCAACAAAACTGTAGTCACAACTCCAGGGTTGGGGGGGGGGGGGGGGTGGGGGGGAGAGTGGGGAGGTTCCAGGAGCCGATGGGAACACGCTCCGGAGGAGGTTCAAAGCTGGGAACGCTAAGCTCAGAATTGGCAGCACAGAGAGAGTCCGATCACTCCGCGCACGCTGCACACCCCCACCCCTCCACCAACGGCCGGGAGGGGATTCTCACTTGGGAGTCTTCAACATGGGACTTCACCAGGGTGTGCCCACCCCGCCCCCCCCTCAGGACAACAAGCGACTGTACTCCGAGAGCGCCGAAGATTTCTTCACTCCGTCCCAGATCCGAGCGGCATAATGGAACCTTCCGGAAGGAACACAAGGAAGAGCTTGCAATTAAAAAGCAACATCCCCATCCTCCAGTCACACCACCCCCACCACACACACACTGGACACAGCACCTTACCGCACTTCATCAATGGATGCACAGTGGGAGAGATGCCCTGCACAGCAAGATCCCACCCAAGCTGAAAACCAATCCAGAAGAAAACCAATCAAGTCATGACTTTTTACAAGTGATCCAGGTTTAGGAATGAAAACAGAGCTCAGGTCACTGAGCACAATTTTCCATCCACTCTTCTTCAAACTCGACAATCTGTATTATTGCGCTGGGAAGCTGAAACAGTCTTCCACTACTGTCTCAGCCTAAAGAGACCTCCGACAGAGCGGCGCTCCCTCAGCGCTGACCCTCCGACAGTGCGGCGCTCCCTCAGCACTGACCCTCCGACAGAGCGGCGCTCCCTCAGCACTGACCCTCCGACAGTGCGGCGCTCCCTCAGCACTGCCTCCAGTGGGATGCGGAGGGAGAGGGTCCCAGCTCACTCATTTAGTTGCACAAAAGTAAACTGTTGATTGTTGTCCTCTGTTTGCTGGTTGCCATGGCAATCACTTTTGCCTGATGAATCCCTGATGTGAGTCCGTAATAACAAACAGCTGGGAGATACAAGCCCCTGCTGTGAACACCCTGGAGCATGGGACTGGGCTGATCACCAATGTTGATAATCCATCAAACTCAACACTGTGACCCTTGCAATTGAGATCAGCACCAGCATTTGCCAACGCTGACTGCAATTGTTCCTAGATATTTTATTCTCATGCTTGCACGGGATGTGGGGGTCACCGGCTGGGGACCAGCATTTCTTGCCCGGTCTCTAGTTGCCCCTTGGGAAGGTGGGGGTGAGCTTCCTCCTTGAACCGCTGCAGTCCATGTGCTGTGGGTTGATGCACCAAGCCCTTAGGGAGGCAATTCCAGGATTTTGACCCAGTGACAGTGAAGGAATGTCAATGTATTTCCAAGTCAGGATGGGGAGTGGCTCAGAGGGGAACTTGCAGGGGGCTGGTGTATCTGCTGCCCCTTGTCCTTCTAAATGGAAGTGGTCGTGGGTTTGAAAGGTGCTGTCTGAGGATCTTTGGTGAATCTCTGCAGAGCATCTTGTAGATGGTACACACTGCTGCTACTGAGCGTCGGTGGGGGAGGGAGTGGGATGTTTGTGGATGTGGTGCCAATCGAGCAGGGGCTGCTTTGTCCTGGATAGTGTCGAGCTTTTTGAGTGTTGTTGGGGCTGCCCCCATCCAGGGCAAGTGGGGAGTATTCCATCCCACTCCTGACTTGTGCCTTGTCGATGGTGGGACAGGGCTTTGTGGAGTCAGGAGGTGGGTTACTTCCTGCAGGATTCCCAGCCAAGGAGCAGCATGGTGGCTCAGTGGTTAGCCCTGATGCTGTTGTCCTGATCTTGTTGGGTTTGAACATGGACTGCTTCAGTGGTTACAAATGGTGCAATCATTGGTGAACATCCCCACGTCTGACCTTACAGTGGAGGGATGAAGTAGCTGAAGACGGTTGGGCCTAGGACACTATCCTGAGGAACTCCTGCAGAGATGTCCTGGAGCTGAGGTGATTGATCTCCAACAACCACGGCCATCTTCCTCTGAGCTAGGTATGATCCAAGGAGAGAGTTTGCCCCCTGTTACCCTGCTTGGCCTCCTTGATGCGAATTTCTGTCGAATGAGGCCTTGATGCCAAGGGCTGTCACTCTCACCTCACCTCTGCAATTCAGCTCTTTTGTCCACGTTTGAACCAAGGCCGGAATGAGGTCAGGGGCTGAGCGGAACCCAAACTGGGCGCCACTGAGCGGGTTAGGGCCGAGCAGGTGCTGTCGGCGACACCTCCTATCACTTTGCTGACAACTGATGGGGCGGTAATTGGCCAATAACATGACGCCCCGTCACCAAATCAGCAACCAAGTCCCAAGTCATTGGCCGAACAGCATGCCAGTCAGGAGGAGCTGCAGCCAATCGGAGAGACAGTAGGGTCTCCAACAATCCGATTGGATGCATCCTGGCTGTCAGTCAACCAGCCTCCCCCACCATTATCCAACTCTTTTACCACTAAAGAACTAACTCGGCTTTCACAGCGAGTAATAAACAGAGATGTGTGTTTTACTTCTGTAGGGCATTCCCGATCCACTCATCGATGAGACTTCAGGGGGCTCCCCATTGATTTCTGGTGGTTTGGAAACCTCTTAATCAGCTGGGAATCTCACTGGATCCATTAAAAGTGGAAGATGAAGGCTCCACCAGGTCCCATTGGACTTGCCCACTTATTGCCACTTCACACCTGTGCACCCCCGCCCCACCACCCTGGAAATTGCAGCCTAGGAGGAAGCGAAGCCTAAATCAGGGATCTCCATGCACTTACACACCACCTCCCAAACAAACCACCAGATCCTTCCTGCCTCACATATTTATCCAACAGGAAGGATATTCCCAAAGACTGGTGAGTCCAGAACCAGGGGACATGGTGTAAAGGAGAAGAACTATCTGTGTGCGCGGAGCCTGTGGAATTCTCTACCACAGCCAGAGGTTGAGGCCAAAACGTTTCTTTGTTTACAAGACGGCTTCAGAAAGGGGGCGAAAGGGACCAAAAAGTATGGGGGAGAAAGTGAGAACCTGAAATGGGATGGTCCTATTGAATGGAGGCTTGAAGGGCTGAATGGCCTCCTCCTGTTCCGATTTTCTACGCTTCCCCTTTCAATCCATCGACACAACCCTGTTGGAGCAAAATCCCCCTTCCCTACGCGTTCTCAGGGAGGGAGGGAGGGGTTGCGCTGACAGACTGAGATAGGAAGGCGAGCACGGCAGTAGGGCTGAATGGCCTGGCCGAATCCTTACCAGTTTTTCTCGGTGAGGATGGTGTGCGAGAGCTGAGGCCGGGACATGGACAGGATCTGGCTCCGCAGTTTGCCCACCAGAGACTGGAAGCTGGGGTGACCTTTGTAACCTGGAAGCAGTGAGAACAGAGATATCCCTCCAGTCCCTGTGCGAGAAGAAAAGAGACCTCACTGTTAGCAAAAACCAAAAGACAGAAAGGCAGCATAGTCACGACTACGTCTCAAAGTGAAAAGGATTGAAGGCTTTGAGGAGGGTACAGGAACAGTTTACGAGGACGTTGCCTGGTTGGAAGGGTAGGAGCTGTAGAATCATAGAATCCTTACAATGTGAAATCAGGCCATTCAGCCCATCGGGTCCACAACGTCCCTCCAAGGAGCATCCTACCCAGACCTTTCCTATCCCTGTAACCCTGCATCTCCTATGTCTAACCCACCTAGCCTGCACATCCTGAACACTACAGGCAATTTAGCATGGCCAATCCACCTTAACCTGCACATCTTTGGACTGTGGGAGGAAACCCACCCAGACACGGGGAGAATGTGCAAACTCCACACAGACAGTCGCCCGAGGGTGGAATCGAACCTGGGTCCCTGGCACCATGAGGCAGCAGTGCTAACCACTGAGCCACCGTGCCGCCCCAACTCTTGAGCAGAGATTGGACAAACTCATTTTGTTTCCACTTGAACGGGGCAGCGCGGGGGTGGTGGGGGCGACCTGATCGAAGTTTGCAAAATTACGAGAGGCGTGGACGGAACGGAACGGACAGGACAGTCGGAGTTTCTCTCCCGGGGTAGAAATGCCAATTACTAGGGGACACGGATTTGACGGGAGGGGGAGTTTAAAGGGGATATGAGATGAAAGGTTTGTCTTACACAGAGGGTGTTTAGTGGCTGGACTACGCTACCAGAGGAGGCTTATACAACAGTCATGTTTAAGAGGCAACTTGACAGACAAGTGAGGAAGCTGGGAATGAATGGAGGGATACAGACCACATTGAGACAAAAGCTTTTTAGTTTAGAAAGGCATCAGGTGCCAGCACAGACCTAGTGGGCTGAAGGGCATGCTCCCGCGCTGTTCTTTGATGCAAACAACAAGCTACATGTATATAGTGCCAGCAGATGTCACGGCCAATGAAGTAGTTTGATTTTTGAAGGGAGGAGGCAGATTATACCTGGAAATGGAGGGCCCTACGAGGAAGGGAAGCCTATTTCAGGGCAACAGTGAGGCTGATGAACTAACCTCCTAAGATGCGATACATTGTGGTGGGGGCAGGATCAGCGGCCTCGCGATTCCTAGGCCCGAGCCAATGCCACAAGTTCAAATCCCGAGGCCCGGTGGGATTTAGATTCAATTCACAGAAGCTGGAATCGAAAACTAGCCACGACAACGGTCACTGGCTCCCGTCTGGTTCACAAATATCCTTCCGGGAAGGACATCTGCCGTCCTCACCTGATCTGGCCCTCCACCCGACTCTGAAAGCCCTCAAATGGCCGAGTGAACCACTCCGCTCGAGGGGCAACTAGGGACGGGCAGCAAGTGCAGAATTAGCCTCACCCTGTGGAAGGATAAAGACTGATGCCTGGCAATGGTGAGACGTCTGGTATGAAGAGACAGTGCTTTTGTTAGGATTATAGTCGCTGGAGTTTAGAAGAATGAGCTGGGGGTGGGGAGGAATCTCATGGAAACCCATAAAATTCTGGACAGGAGGAAAACACAGGGAGGATATTCACGATGTACTGGGGGGGTGACAGTCTAATGAGATGGGGTGGGCCATTCTGGTGCCTTCACTAGAGAGTGGCGAGTCTGCAAAATCCTCTGCCACACAATGTTTTCAAGAAGGCGTTAAGATACTGTTCTTAGGGCGAAAGGGATCGAAGGGTCTGGCCGTGGGGGGGGGAGAAAGCGGGAATGGGGGACTGAGTTGGACGATCAGCCGTGGTCCTACTGAATGGCGAGGCAGGCCTGAAAGGGCCGAATGGCCTCTTCCTACTTACGACATTTTCACGTTTCTGGCGCAGAAAAGCCCAATTTGTACACAGCAAGCTCGCACGCAGCCACAACAAAGACCCAGATCAGCTGTGTTGGTATCGGAGATAAATACTGGCCCCAGGACTCTGGGATAAACTCTCCCAAATATGCGCCCACCCCTCCCAAAACCGTTTGCTCTACTTCAAAAGAGCAGTAGTGGGGTTTTAGCTTTTCCTCCTGACCTCGACGCCTCGTTGAACTTCTCAAAAAGATGGTCAAGTCCTACTCCAGGCACAGAGCAAGAAATAGAAAACGAGAAGCTGACCAGTCTGGTGGGGGACGTAAGGGAGTGCCACGCTGTCGGAAGCACCGCGTTTCTAAGGTGGCGCCAAACCAAGCAGCGCCGGGGAACGCTAAAGGCTCTGCGGCCACCACTTGGAAAGAGTGCAGATGGGGATAAAGAGTCGTCCAGGGGATAAACACTCATTCTTAATGGGGCGTCAAACGAGGAAGAAATATTTATCACAGCGTCATTTGTCGGTGAGCATATTGGCTCCCACACTTTCCAAAAAATAAAACATCGACGGCTATAAAAATGTACCAGGTGCCCGAGTTTTCTTCCTGCAGACAGTGAGCACTGCCAGACGCATGTTTTGAAAAGTGCTGCACACAGTCGTTAGTTCTGCTTGGTTTCTCAGAGATGGCGATGATCTGTTCAGATATTTACAGCCTCTGTGTGATCTTTGGCTGCCTGCTCTCAAGTGTTACTCCAAAGGGACAAGGCACCACTTTCACACGCCCTTGCTTCCTGGGTTTGCTCAGGGACTTCCAAAGCAACTTTTGTGGTTTGTAACTGCTGTCACAAACATCGCCGCTGCAACACCAGGGGACAGGTTGCAATTTCTGGAGTCAGGATCTCACCTCACGTCTCCTCAAAACCTGTCCGTCATCGACAGGGCACAGGTCAGGTGTCTGAGGCAATTAATGGGCTCAGGTCCCTGTAGTGCTTGACAGCAGACAGTGTAGAGAAAGCTTTACTCTGTATCTAACCCCGTGCTGTCCCTGCCCTGGGAGTGTTTGATGTGGGACAGTGTAGAGTAGCTTTACTCTGTACCGAACCCCGTGCTGACTGTGCCCTGGGAGTGTTTGATGTGGGACAGTGTAGAGGGAGCTTTACTCTGTATCTAACCCTGTGCTGAGTGTGCCCTGGGAGTGTTTGATGTGGGACAGTGTAGAAAACCTGTTCGGCCTTTGCTCCAGAGACAATCCCTCCATACTAGGAATCATTCCAATGAACCTTCTCTCAACTGCCTCCCATGAAATGATATCTTTCCTTAAATAAAGGGACCAAAACTGCTCACAGTGCTCCAGATGTGGTCTCACCCGCACCTTGTAGAGTGGCAGTCAGACTTTCCTACTCTTATACTCCAACCCCCATGAAATAAGGGCCAACATTCCACGATCCTTCCTGATTACCTGCTGTCCCCTTGTGCTAGCTTTGTGTTTCACGCACACGTACCCCAAGTTCCTTTGTTTTGCAGCTTCCTGTAGATTTTCCCTATTTAAACAATACTGTCCTTTTGTTCTCCCTTACAAAACGAACAACTTTGCATTTTCCCACATCACACTCCATTTGTCTGACTTAACCTAAAAAAAGTCTCTCTGTAAACTGTTTGTACCCCTCTCACCTTTCCACCTATTTTTATGTCACAGTTGGCCATAGTCCATGAACATCCTTTCTCCCAGTCATTATTATATATTGTGAGCAGTTGTGGATCTAGCACTGATCCCTGTGGGACCTGCACTGATCACAGTTTGCCAACCGGAAAAATAACCTGCTATTCCCAAACACCACCTCCTGCCCATGATCCAGTTCTCTATCCATGCCAATATACTGCCTCTGACACTGTGGGCTCTTCTCTCATGACTCGACCTTTTGTGACGTATATCATCAAACACCATCTGGAAGGCCAAATACAACACATCTACTGGTCCCACTCTATCCATTCTGATTGAGCATTCCTTGAAAAATTCTATTAAACTAGTCCGGCACGATTTCCCTTTCACAAAGTCATGCTGACTCTGCCTGATCAGATTATCATTTTTCAAATGTACTGCTATTACTTCCTTAATAATTCCTGTTCTGGGAGTGTTAGATGGGGGACAGTGTAGAGGGAGCTTCACTCTGTATCTAACCCCGTGCTGTCCCTGTCCTGGGAGTGTTTGATGGGGGACAGTGTAGAGAGAGCTTTACTCTCTATCTAACCTCGTGCTGTCCTTGTCCTGGGAGGGTTTGATTGCGGGGGAAGAGTGTTGCGGGAGCTTAACATTCAGTTGAAAAGAGTAGAGCGAGTTATTGTAAAGACAGCAGTGCACGGACTGTCCTTTCCCTCCAACACAGGTTTGAAGGGAATTCCAACCTTACCAGCTCTGACGAGGTTTTCCTCCACATCGTTCTCCATCACCGGAAGGAGAAACAAGTTGACCTCCGACTCTAGGAAGTCATTGCTCAATCCGGGAAAGATGTTACAGTCCAACATGGAGAGCGTACCTTGTTGAACAGGACAAAGGGAAAGCCGTAAACAAAAGGATCTGGCACGACCGAGAAAAGAATAAACATTGGACTGCATTTATCATTCGACTACGAGAGATCACAAACACACAGCTGGGCTCAGTTTACCTCCGTCTCTCCAAACCGTGATTCCCACACATGTGTAACAGAAACTTTGTATGTAACCAGGTCATGCCACAATGAAATCCCGCCACCCTGGACGACTATAGAGACCCGTCCCACAGAAACCATCCCACACACCTTGCAGAGAAACCGCCGCCTCACAAGCAGTATACTGTTCAAACTGGTGAATCCACTGGTACGATGCACAGATTTATCTGAACTCTGGTCGCACCCAGCGCCCCTCACTTTCAGAATAGTTTCAGCCGAATTACACAGCAGGCCATTCGGCCCTCTGTGTCTGTTCTAGCTCTTTGAAAGACTTAGCCAATTAGTCCCCAGTCACTCTTGCCCAACACTTTTATCCGCATTGAGTAGTTCTCCAACTCCCTAACCAACCCCCCTCACCTTTTCGGAAAGCTCCTGTTGAATTTGCTCCCAACTGTCCAGCTCAGTGTGTCACAAAAATACATCTTCATCCTCCTCCCTGCTCTGGGCCTTTTCCTGATTCTCTCGAATCCGTGTCCCTCTGGCAACTGACCTTCCTGTCCCTGGGAACGACGTTTCCCTCATCGACTCGATCGAAATCCACCCCCCACTCCCCCGTCTCGATTCTGTCTCCCTCTGAACCTTCCCTGCTCTGAGGGGGACAGTCCCAGCTTCTCCTGGACTCTCCACGTGAACTGAGACCACTCGTCCCTGGGACCCTCTCCCAGTGAATCTCCTCCAGCCCCTCTTTCCGAGACCCTGTCGCTGTTCCTAAAGCGAGGGGCGTCCAGGCTGGGACAAGGTGCTCCAGCTGAGAGCAAACCGGTGGTTTAGAACAGGTTCTGCCTGACTCGCTTGCTACTCGAGCAATGAAGGCAAGGATTCTGTCTACGGCCTTTCTTCAGCAAGTTCACCTCATCCCACCATCGGCAAAGATCCCCCTGCACCAGGAAAGCATGTCCCCGAGCACAGGGTCCACAGGGAGCTACAACGTGGGAACACATTCACAGGGCTTCCCCTGCTCCTGTCAAACCCGGTTACCTTTATACTTGAGGTGCGAGTGCAACATCAGTTTGTCAATGACAGTGTGCATCTTCTTGAGGTTCCGAGGGCAGAAGTCCTCCCGCCTGGCTTTATTTTGAAGGAAAACTGCTTGGAACAGAGAAATTGGAGTTAAGATGGAGAGCGCAAAAGAGGGGGCAGCTCAAATTTGTTGCAAACAGCCAACTTCCCTTCCCCAGCTGTATGCACTAAAGCAAGTGGCTATTTATGGGGAACAGGAAGCCATTCGGCCTGTTGTTTCGATGCCAGCTCTCTGCTACTCGCACCTTCCAAACCTTATCTCGGCGCATAATGATCCACCTCCCCCTTGGAATGCTTCACTTCAACTGTGTCTTCACCCGTTTCTCCTGCAGCACACATCTAGGATCCTGACCTCCCGCACTCAGGCTCTCAATCCTGCCGTCAATGGGAACAGTTTTGCGTTGTCAACTCAGCTCACAGACCCTCGAATGACTGTCAACACCTCAATCAAATCATCGCTCACTTTCTCTACCCCAAAGAGAACAGGCCCAGGATCTCCAATCTATCTGTGCCCAGACCCTTTCTCAGGATCTGGTCCCATAGCTGCTCTGTAACGCCACATGGAGGGTGGGGGCTTTAATTCCACCAGACCGGGAGGGGGGATGGTGCTGGCAGACAGGGCCCGCCGTTTAGCGGGTCATCTGAAACACAGCATCCTCAGCAGTGCTGCACTCCCACGTCCCCCACCTCAGCATCCCAGGGGCGGGGTGCTCAAGAGGCCGGAACTGGAGGAGGTTACATTGATAGGGAGGAACGTAGGTGCCAGAGGAGGTGACAGAGATAGGGAGGGGTGTAGGGGCTGGAGGAGGTGACAGAGATAGGGAGGGGTGTAGGGGCTGGAGGAGGTTACAGAGATACGGAGGGGTGTAGGGGCTGGAGGAGGTTACAGAGATAGGGAGGGGTGTAGGGGCTGGAGGATGTGACAGAGATAGGGAGGGGGTGTAGGGGCTGGAGGGGGGTTACAGAGATAGGGAGGGGGTCTAGGGGGTGGAGGAGGGTTACAGAGATAGGGAGGGGGTGTAGGGGCTGGAGGGGTTTACAGAGATAGGGAGGGGGTGTAGGGATAGCATTTCAGACGAGCTGAAGATTTCTGGTGAGGTGGGAAGTGGGAACCTGAATGCTGGAATTTCGCTGCCCTGAGGAGGGACAGCAGTTCCTCACAGACTACTCCTGCCCCTTTGAAAACCCAGGGAGCGACTGGGAAAAATATTCTCCCCTCCATGCCGCAGAGTGCTGCTCAGTCCCTCCACATAACTCCCTCGGCCTGTTAACCTCCATAATCCTCAGATTTACGGCCTGATTTTACAGGGATGAGGATTGTCCAGGTTCACAAAGACAGCTCACCTCCTCCAGGGGTAATAAATGCCTACATGCCCCTGAATGAACGAAGCAGGAGTCCGATAGTTGGGCAACGTTGCTGTTCTGCCCGCCTGCGTTGCAGATACTGGGAAACAGCACAGCGAGGATACTCACTGATATTTGGGTAGTATTCAGAGCCTTCCTCAGACCCCGGGCCACCGCTCAACTCGTGACTGGGCGAGGGAGTGGAAGGCTTCAGCATCTCCGCTGTCTGCAGAAACCTGAGAAAGTGAGGACATCTCCCGTCACTAATTGATTGGCACAGGGCTCTCGCACCACCCACTGACCTCTCAGGGTACTGTGCCTGACACAGGACCCTCTGGGAATACAGCCAAGCCTTGACCTTTGACACCAAGCCCCATCCGGAAAAGCGGACACTAGGAAGTGATCGGGGCAGAATGTTCCAGCGAGTTGGGCACTGAGGGCAGTTCACGGTGGTGCCAGCTGTCTGTCTGATTCTATCTGTCTGCCCCTCTGCCTGCCTCTTCCAATGCCACTCAGCCTGTTCTCTGTACGTCTGTCCATTCCATCTGTATCCGCCTGTTTGTCTGTCTGTCACTGTGCATTGGTTTCCAAACTGCCTGCCTGCCAGTCTCCCTGCTAATCTGTATCTCACTCTCTCTGGAGCAGTTCAGAGATTTCAGGGAGCTGTAGCATTTACAGGGGCTTACAGAGAAAAGGAAAGCTGTAGGTGTTGGAGGAGTGTCCTTCAATTGGGATAGTCACGAGCCTGTGAAAGTCACAGGGTCAACTGCACTGCACTGTCGGAGGGTCAGCGCTGAGGGAGCGCCGCGCTGTCGGAGGGTCA